TTTTTTTTGGCAGGGTCTCAAGAGGACATTGCCCGGGCTGGTTTCGAACTCCCATATAGTAACCCTCCTACTGCAGTTTCTCAAATGATATCACAAATAGGTGCCACCACAACAGGAAAAATATGAAATAATTATGAAGAAAAGGCTCCAGTGATTTTGAAAACTCTTGTAACCAGAAATGTAATAAACGTGCCAAACTGAAACTGACAGCCAGGTTATAAACCTTCAGAGAATGAAGGTTGTGGTGGGCTTGTCTTTCATCCCAGCGCTTGGAAGGCAGAGGCAGGAGGATCTTTATATGTTCAAGTCCAACCAAAGATACACACATAGTGAGAAAATATAGAAAGGAAGGAAGGAGGGAACGAGGGAGAAAGGGGAGGGAGAGAGAAAGGGAAGAAAGAAAAAAGGAAAAGGAAGAAAAAAAAGAGAGAAAGGAAGGGAGAGAGAGAGAGAGAGAGAGCAACCAGTGCAAACTCCACATCCGAGAGCTGACAAGCAGAGCTCTTGCTAGGATACAGCCTACCACGCCTGTCCATGGAGGAACGGTGGTATTTTGGAATTTTTCCAGCTGATAAAGTATCTGTAGCAATATACAGAATTCTTTTCGGAAAGAGCCGGGAAGATGGAAATCGAGTCTTGGGCAAGCCTTGTGTGACGGGTCCTATCTGTAAAACCAAGTATTGCACAAAGGAGTCACATTCCAAGAGAAGTGTGTTTGTTCTGGCTTAAACATCACCATTTCCTCAGGAAAGCCTGATTCAGATAAAGCCTATTAGGAAACTCACAATCTCCCAGTTTGCAGGAAATGGAATGTCTTTATTTATTTTGAATCCTAAGAAAATGCATTAGACATTCTGCCCCCCCCCCCAACAGTTAGAGCATGCTTTTACATGCACAAAGCGTGTTTACAGTTCCTGGCCTTGACCTTGAGGATGCCAGACCTTTATTGGGTGTGTTTTAAGCAGGCTGGTTTTCACACACGTGTGCAGTACTTATTTACAAAGGTTTTCATTCTAAATGCGGCTTTGGATGTTTCTATTTATTAACTTCTTGTCAGAGCGCAAAGCCGCGGCGTCATGATGTCACTGTACTTCTCCATTTATCTCCCCACTGTCTTCCCCTAGTCCTCCTCCCTCAGAACACGTTTTCAGACACTAAGGAGATATTTAAGGAGGAAGGGAGCATGAGATTAAGAGTCCAGACTTTAAATCAGTCCCTCCTGAGCTGTCACTCTTGACAAAACCTTTGCATCTCAGTGCTGGAAAGTGGCCACTCAGTAGGCTGGAGGATTATGGGAGTTGATGCACAGCACTCAGTACTCAATAAACGTCAGCCCAGCCGTTGTTAGCCATTCTTGCTTCCCTGGTGCAGCGGGTGTTTCCCAGGCCTTAATTAAGCAATCTAGTTGATTAAAAAAAGGTGCTGTGGGCGTCAGCAGACTGGCACTCCTGACACAACCAGGATGAAATGGGAGAGTCCACTGTCATTCGTCTATTCATGTAAGGCAGAGGCTTGCTAGGCAGCCTGGGCTGGTCTCCAGCCCTGCATTCTGAGTACTGGGATCACTGGTGTGTATGCATCACCAGGCCCAGCTCTCTGTCAAATGCATGTCCCTGCTAAAATTAGTCCTGTCACTCCTGAGACTGCAGGGCTGGGTCAATCTCTTTTTTACATCCAATCCCAGTTCCCCCTCCCTCCTTTCCTCCTGCTCCCCCGCCTCTCCCTCCCCCCCCCCTGCCTCTTCCCATCTGCTCCTCAGAGGGAGTAAGGCCTCCCCTAGGAAGTCTACTAAGTTTGTTCATCATCTTGTTGAGGTCGGACCAAGGCATCTCTCCACCCCCACACCCCTGTGTCTAGGCTGGGCAAGGTTATCTCTCCATATAGAATGAGATCCACTAAGTCAGTCTGTGCATTAGTGTTAGATCTTGGACCCACTGCCAGTGGCCTCATACATTGTCCCAGTCATGCCATTGTCACCTATTTTAAGGGAGTCTAGTTCACTCTTATGCAGGTTCCCCATCTGTCAGACCTGAGTCAGTGATCTCTCACTAGCTCGGGGCAGCTGATTCTGTGGGACAATCTCCTTTTTTAAAAAAATTAAAATATAGTTACATCATTCCCCCCCTTCCTTTCCACCCTCTAATCCTTTCCATGTTCCCCTACCTTGTCCTCTCTCAAATTCATGACTTCTATTTGTTACATTTATATTTCTGTGTGTGTGTGTCCTAAGTATATAAATACAACCTGCTCAGTCCATGCATATGATACCAATTGGAAAACTTTTTCCTGGGGAAGACTATTTCTCTTACTCTTTCATTCCTTAGTTGACTGTTTTGTTTGTTTTTTGAGACAGGGTTTCTCTTTATAGCACTGGCTGTTCTGGAACTCACTCTGTAGACTAGGCTGGCTTTGACCTTACAGAGATCGTCCTGCTGCTGCCTCCGGAGTGTTGGGATTAAAGGTGTGCGCCACCACTGCCCGAGTTGACTAGTTTTTGTCTAGGGTTGAGGCCTCTTGGGTTCCCCTTCCTCGTTAACATGTCTACTGGTGTCATTGCTGGTTCAGGTCTTCCTTAGGCTGCCATCTTGGTGAGTCTTCCTGGGTGTAGCTTCTCTGACATTTCTAGGCGATGCCATCACAGCAAGCATCTTATTCCTCTGGCTTTTAAACTCCCTCTGCCCCCTCTTCTGCTCCGATCCCTGAGCTTTAGCAGGAATTGTGTTGTAGGTATCAGTTGGTGCTGGGTATACTTATTCTCTGCATTTTGATTGGTTGTGGTCTCCATCTGCTGCAAGGAGAAGTTTCTTTGATGAGGGGTGAGACTTTTACCTATCTGTGGGTATAAGGACAAGTACCCTGGTTCAGTAAAGTGGCGGGTTTACATTCTCTCCAAGATCCATGACCTTACTAACCCTGGGCAGTTGGCTGGTTACCAGTGCCAACGTGTATGTGCCACTAGCAGCCTTAGGGATATTGTGGCATGCTGGAGTTGTGGGTAGGACAGCTGCTGGCTTCCCTTCTTCGGAAGCTTACGTGGCGTCTTCTGGTACCACCTGCACAGTTAAACACAACCAGTCTAGTGAAGAGGAAGCTTATGGAATGGGAGGCATCTTTGCCAGCCATGCATCTGACAGAGCATTAACATCCAGAATATATAAAGAATTTTAAGAAAGCAAGCGTCAAAAACAAAACCAAAAAACACCCAACCTAAACTGAAATATAAATGTAGAGAAGAATGAAGACAAATGAGGGCTGGAGAGATGGCTCAGTGGTTAAGAGTACTTGCTGCTCTTGCAGAGGACCTGAGTTCGGTTCCTAGTAACCACATTAGGGTGCTCACCAGGATCTATGATTCTAGCTTCAGGGGCTCTGACACCCCCTTCTGGCCTCCATGGCCATCTATACATGTGGTATACCTGAACACAGACAGACAGACACAAGTTAAACAGCTAAAATAAATCTTAAAATAACAAAAATAAGAAGAAATCATTGGAAAACATGGGCTTTGGATCTGAACAGAGAGTTCTCAAAAGAAGAAAAACAATGGCTAAGAAATATTTCAGAAGGTGTTGTCCTTCGCAATTAAAGAAATATCAAATCAAAACAGGTTTTGGCTTTCATCTCCATCCAGTCAGAATGGGGACGATCATAAAGCAACAGACAGCAAATGCAGGAGAGGATGTGGGGGACGGAAGCCTCACTTTCTGGGACTGAAACTGGTAGAGCCACTCTGGAAGTCAGAGTGGAGAACCCTAAAAAAGCTAAAAATAAATCTGCCATACACAACTCCTCAGCATATGCCCGGGGTCTTGACATCTGACTCCACAGACACTCTCTTTGCCGGTCCATCCCCTATAGCTAGGGAATGGAGCATGATAGCTATCTGTCAACTGAGGAGTAGACCATGAAAATGTGATACATACACACTATTCAATATTATTTAGTTGCAAGAAAAAAAATGAAAGTTGAAGGTCACTGGATGATATTAGTCAAGAAAGACAAACGTAGAATGTTCTCTCAGTTGAGGCTCCTAGCTCCCAATCTTCAGATGTCAGTATGCAACCTGAAGAAATTGCAGAAACCAAAAGAGTAAAAGGGACCACAGTGGGGGAGGGGAACAACGGGGGGGGGGAATAAAGGGTACAGGGTGACTTGAGGGATGAAAAGGGGAGAGAGAGAAGCGGGGAGTTGGAATAGGGAACGGGAGGAGATAAATACAGAGGAAAGAGAGAGGCAAATGGCAGAAAGCATGTCTGAAAAAGTCATAGGAATCATTATCTATCTACCTGAAAATGCGTAAAGGTCTACACGCACGCACACACGCACGCACGCACACGGTGTAAGTGAAAGATTTCCATCTGGGCTGACAATGCCCCTCACAAGAGTCATCAGCTAGCTAACAGAAATCCCAGCACCAGGCATCAGAAGTCTCTTTGAATTGTCAGTCAGGATTATCCAAGGGACTCCCAAAACACACAGGCTACTGCCCTTGGCTGCCCCCAGAAACTGAAGGGAAGTCCCTGTTGCTGAAGGTACCCTGTGCTGTGGACACTGGGCCTAGAGGATGATGTCACCTGCAAGGCGCATCCGGCAGTTAGTTGAGTGGAGTGCTAAGGACGAGGTGGTGGCTTCCAGGTGACACCCGAGGCCCTCCTAGGAATGCAGCCAAGTTTACATTATGGGCAGTACTTACAGTTGCCCTGGGGAGTATGTCCCTGGAACATTTCATGCTATTCAGAAACTCACAACAAAAGAAAGCATTTCCATATCCAGTGCTGTCTATCACACCAAATAAACAGGAGGCTTCGATTTATAACCAGATGCTGCTGTTGGCTTTGTTGACACAAACTCCTGTCAGCCTCTGCCTTTTCATTTTAATTGTCTCCCCAAAGCCACTTTTCAGTTGAAACAACTATAAAAACTGTTTGGAAGCAGGAGCCAGAGAAAGTCTGCACCTTGGGAACCCCTTATCCACCGGGGGAGATACACACAGGACTCACTGAGGATTATCAAAGTTGTATTTAAAATTTCAGAGCACTTGAAAATGAAGAATATAATGTTCTCGTGTTTTCATTTTATAACTTGAAAAAGGCCTTCAATTACAAGTAGCCATCACGCGTTACCCCAAGCAGAGTGTGCTGTTCAGCCAGCCCTTAACTGGTTTGTACCCTCACTCCCGGGGTGGGGGGTGGGGGGTAGAGGTAGGCTGTGACCCCTGGGGGCAGGCAGAGGGGGCTGGCTCCTACTCCGGGTGGCGCTTTTTCTTCTTGTGGTTCTCTATTGCTCTCCTCAGGGCTTCATCTGGAATGAGGTCCGACATTCTCATGTCTGTGTGACTACAGCCGATTTTGGGGCAACTGTGAAGGGGAGAGAAAACCGTCAGTCCATCTCAGGTCCCTGTCTTACGCATCAATCAATGTCATCGTCAGGCACTGAAATGAGGACAGCTTACAAAAGAACAGGGACAAAAAACAAAGCCGCTCCAAACCTAAGAGTCATGCACATGTCCCCATTCTTTCTCCAAGGGCCGGCAGCGCGTCTGCAGCTGGGGATGCAAGCAATGTGTGAGCAGCATCTACATCTAGGAGCTTGCTTTGTCGCAGGAGGCAGGCAGTCACCAAGGAGCCACAAACCATGCCACAATAGCAATAAAGCAGTGAGGAGCAGAGGGAACATGGATGGGAGTTAGGAAGGAAGGGTGGAGACAGGCTTGTGTGTGGCCTGGGCTGCCCAGGAGGCATGGCCAGGTGCTCTGCAGTGAAAGCTAAGGAATGGGGAGCTGAGGTCAAGGGCAAGGTGACACGCTGGGTTATTATCTTATTTTGTTATTAGTTTTTGTTTTGTTTTGAGTCATAGTCTCCCATAGCCGAGGTTGTCCTTGAACCTGCTTTGTAGAGGGGAATGAACTTCCTATTGCCTCCATCTCCCCAGTGCTAGGATTATAGGCGTGTACCACCAAGACTTGGCTATATGCTGTGTTGGGGGCCAAACCCAGGGCTTCATGCACGCACGACAGGCAAATGCTCCATCAACTCAACCAGAAATGCTCCATCAATTCAACTACAAATGCTCCATCAACTCAACTACATCCTTTGCTCTGGACCTCATTTTAAATATGTAAAGAGCCCCCTGGAGTTTTTTGGGATAGATTTGCTTTCCTTGTAGAAAAGTCACTCTGGCTAAGAGAGGACAGAGGCTAAAGGGCAAAGAATGGAGCAGAGAAAAAGAGTGCTCCACAGAGGCGCAGCAAGGGTGAGGCAGTCTGGCTGAGTGTTCTGGCTGAGACAGGATCCAGCACACACAGGGACGTGGGCTCTGCAGATATGGGTGGAAGGCAAGTGGGACATAAGGAAAGGGAAGACAGACGGGCCCTGGGAAGGAATGGATACAGGATAGGCACGGGACCAGCAGTCCCGCCTGGACTATGTCCCCTCTGAATGCCACTAAACCTCTCAGTGGCATTGGGGACTGGCCTGAAGCCTGAAGTGGAAGAATTAAGATCCTGAGTCACTGGAAAAGGGTGGAGAGCAAGGCCGTGCTCAGCTAGCCATTTCCTTTGAGCCAGAGTTTGGACTGAGTCACCTGGTTCCTTTTTGCTATGAACAAGATCTGGGCAGGGTGGAGTGCCCAGGGTTTGGAGTCAAGTGCATGTAGGTCCTGAATTCTCTCAACCACCCGGTGGCTGGTGGCCAAGATAAACTTTCTGGGCCTGGGTCCCCCTGCTTTAAATATGGGCAGGGTCCCCACTCCACATGGCAACAGCCCCATAGCACTCCACAAAGTCCTCCTGCTTTACTGTCCCCTAGGCTGGCTATTCTCTTGGGAAGTTTTAGGTTATCTGATCTGTCTGTACTCGCAGAGATCCGGTTCACATGGGTACCATTCATGCTTTGGTGTGATCCGCTCTGGGCTAGATTCTAACTACATATCTGAAGTACAAGCATGGCTCTGGCCCACAAGGCTAGGCCCCATGACCCGAGACAGCTCTTCTAAAGGCACAGCAAACACAGGAGAAAAGGTAAAAGGCAGAGGGACGGGAAGGTGACCCGGGGTACAGTCCACCAAGTCATAGGAAATGCGAGGATAAAGTAGGAAGCGGGGGGGGGGGGGGGGGGGGTTTTCTTGGCCTTGACACCAAGGAGTCTCCAGAGCACTGGTGGCCAGCTTGGGGATGGGATGAATCGGGAGATGATGAGTGTGGCCTGGGCATTCAGGCACATGGGCTTTTGCTCATTTGTGGCCTGTGTTTTGGTGGAGTCTTGCTGTGTAGCTGTAGCTGCCCACCTCAGCTTGTCTCCTGTACTGTGAAATCTCCGAGTATGAGATGATGAAGACATGTACACGTCCTGTCACCCCCTAGGCTTCCCTGATGTGGAAATGTTCGAGAGGAGGCTCCTGGGGTACACTTCCCTGCCGGGCAAGCCCTGAGCCCTGCTTCTGGCTTCCAGGCCTTGGGTGCACAGCCTCCTGAGAACGAAGTCTACCTCGGGCTGCCAGACAGTGAATAGGCGGTGGAGTGTGGGGTGGGGGAGGACTTCCTGGTGACATCAGCGGCTTTAGTCAGTAAGTGAGGGCATTCTGAGAATGGCTAATGGAATTAACCACACCACTGGGCTGCCGCGGAGGCGTCCACACTCCTGCTGGTGGCTGGGGCTCAGTGAGATCTGTGACATGCATGGGGGCAGTGGCATAAATCAAGTAGTCTTTCCAAGGGGGAAGAGCGGAGAGAACCCCAGCACCTGGGTGGCTGAGACGAGGGGGGTCGACTGAAAGTTCTAGGCTAGCCTGGGCTACCCAGTGAGCCGTCTCCAGGCAGTCAGCTCCCCGGGTGATGACACTGTACAAACGACTGTACAAGGTTTTTCCTGCAAACGGAGGGAGGCAGAGTTCCTCGTCTGTCTGAAGGCATTCGGGCACAGTGAGAATCGAGTGGCCACTGAATGTCAAGGGCGAAGGCCTCACCACACACTAGTTGCTGTTCTAGACCGTAGCTACCAGTCCTGTCTCCTCAAACAAGATGGCTGGACGAGTGACAGGCGCAAACAACTCTGAACAGCACGAATGAATCTCTGGGAAGACTTCCTGGAGGGTGAGGCCAGCACAGGAACCGGGTACAGCCATGTCTCCCACCCCACCCCACCCCACCCCACCCCACCCCACAGAAACTAACAAGTTTTTAAACTAAAAAGGCTAAGAAAAGGCCATGATGCCATGGGCCTGAATCAGGGCACTCCTGCTCTGAGAAACAACACTGCCCAAGCATTAGGCCATAATCCCCAGGACATCCTGGTGAGCAAGTCAGGTGTGGCAACACCTTCAGCTCTCACATCATGGCATCATCCCCTGGAAGAGCTCAGACCCACAGGCCTGGAAGGAGAGGCTGATCACAAGCCTGGGTCAGCCATAGGGCAGAGCATTCCTTAACAGCATGGGGCACACTTAGTCTGCTAAGGAAAGGCCTCAGGGTGCAGAGGGTCCCAAGAGGCTCCCCAGGGGCTGTAGGAATCTGGGCCTCGGCCCCAGTTCGTGATGGTGAGTCCTGAGAGGCTCAGTTTTGGGTCCTAAGAATGCTCACGTCCAATCCATAGGCTCGAAGAAGTGGGTGTATAGTCGCCTCTGGCAGCAAGAGTTGGGTGGATTCCTGTCATACCTACACGCAGGAGCAATTCCGTGTTTCCCATGCCCTCCAAGTCTAGTGAAGACTGGCAGCCATAGGGCCCACAGCTGTGTGATCACGAGGTACACCAGCAAGCTTCCTGTCAGGAAGGCCCTTCTCCCTGTGTGTATGTGCAGCTGTGTATACATGTGTACATGTGTATGCCATGGAGGTCAGAGGACACCCTGAGCAGTCCTCCTCAGGTACTTTTGAAACAGGGTCTTTCACTGGCCTAGAGCTTGCTAAGTACACAATAGGCTGGCCAGCCAGTGTGCCCCAGTGTGCTGGGACAGCACACGCGTGATCATACTTGACGCTTTCATGTGAATTCTGGTGTTGGAGTTGAGTCTGACCGAGCTAGCTCCTGTCTTCTCTGTACCTCAGAAACGTGCCAGGACAGACCTGGAAGGAATTCCCTGTTAGCTCCAGGGTCCCTGGAATTTTGAGCTGAAGAGGTTATTTCCACTCTAGAGATAACGAGTCTGGTTGAGCGGCTTGTTGCTAGGTGAATTCTTGTTGCTTAGGTGAATCACGCATTTCTATTCACTTCACATCATCTGACATGTTCTGAATGACTGTTGGGGATCCCGCTCAACCCCAGAAAACCAAAGCAAATGGCTGGGGTCAAAATCGGCCGTAGCCATTAGCATGAAAATCAGCAGGCAGCTCTATTGTGAGACAATAGCTTTATGATTAACAGATCTATTTTAGGAAATGACTCTGACAGTATACTTAGGGTGAAAAGCTCCTCCAGAATATTCCGCCTCAAGCCAGTGGAAAGGCCTCCAGGGACGGAAGCATGCTGGGAAAGTTCAGATGGTACCCAGTAACACAGCGTGCCTGGGGCTCCAGTAACATAACTAGAACAGGAGAAGGAGAGTTCTCCGACAGGATGTGTCACAGACATTTTTTAAATGCCACTCCATGGGAACGGACACCACTTCATGCTGAATCAGAAGCCTGTGCAGCCCGCGTGCGCAGACTGTCGTGAGTTCTAATCTGCTGCCATGTGTGTCCTGGTCTGGTGACTGTAGCACCTGTCTTGGGTGTGGTTTGGGCCGCTTCCCACAGGGTCTTCTACCTCTGACACTGTAACTGATGAACGAGGAACTGTTCAGAACTGACTGCAGGCTCTGAGTCCGGTGCTGAGGAGGGCTCCTGCCAGGCCAAGGCTCTGTCTTGCTTGCCTCTGCAGAGCTGCGTCTCAGGTAGTGGCAGTTGCGCACCTGTTTACTCAGAGTCACACAATTCTCATGGGCAGCTCCGTCACCTTCTAAGTGCAAAGCCCACATGACTGTACCCGCTAACTTCAAGCGGCTGTACCTTTGTGACCTCAGACCCGGATGACCTGAACTGAGCCTCCTCTAGACACTTTGCCCTCTCCCTCTCTCTAGACCTTGAAATCAAGCAACTGCTTCTGGACACTCAACAGAAATGGCAGTCATGGTCCCTGCTCCTCTTCTCTCCCTTACAATCCGTTGCCACATTCTGTCTGGGGCACTTGCACACACCCTCACGCCCAGGTATGCACTCATTCTCTGCAAGAGAACCCACTGTACAAGCAGCAGAACCAGCCTCTGGCACCTCCCTCCTGCACCGAGTATCTTTCTCAACTCCAGGTTGGGCTCCTCTCAATTCCCTTTCTCTCCAAGGTCTCCCAGGCCTATGCGGTTGAGATGGTAGACACCGGCTGAAGATTGAAGACAATGATGAAGGGCTCATGGTTCAAGTCTTACTGTATCTGTGTTTGGTACTTTAGCTACTTTACAAATACCTTATTCAAATTTCAAATGCACCGATGGATGGGAAAACTACAATGATTCCCATCAGTTTACTGATAGCAAGCAATGAACTGATATTCACGGCCTCTATGACAGGTCTCTAGCCTCTTCACTGTTCCGTCATCTGCAGTGTCCTTCTGTTTCCCTGCCACCAGCAGTAGCCACCGTCATAGGTACTGCCACCTAGTGAAAGCTGGCCTGGTGGGGTGGGGCTCTTGTCAAGAGCCCCGTCTTTGATGGGTGTAAAGGTGCCTTTAATCCAAGCACTCAGTAGGAAGGGGCAGGTGGATCTCTGCAAGTTCAAGGACAGCCAGGACCACATAGGGAAACTATCTCAAAAACAAAACAAAAACAAAACAAAAACAAAACAAAACAAAACAAAACAAAAAAACCCAAAAAAACCCAAAAAGAACAAACAAACAAACAAACAAAAAACCCCAAACAATCAAATAAAAATACTTTACTATTTTCTATGTATATGAGATTAGCCTGCATGTATGTCGTGCTGATATGAAAGCCAGGAGACAATGTTGGATCCCAGAGAGCTAGATTCAGGTGGGTGCTGAGAACTGAACTCGAGTCCTCTGGAAGAGCCGGCAAGCGTTTTTAATGGCTGATCTGTCTCTTTGCTGCCCATGCTCATCCACGTTGTACCATAAAACTTCACTGTAGTAGCTTTGGCTACGAACACTTACCATGAGCACATGGACATGAGACCGAGCGTATCACAGCACTCTGTGCCATGGAAACACCTCGGCTTAGATTTGAGGCAACTGTATGCTATACATTTCTGTGTTTTCTTCTGTACACATTTTCTGCTCTTATAGAGACAATGATTTAAAGGCAGAAAAGACAGTATTTTTCTACAACTATTCCACTGATTAGAGCAAATCACTGTATCCTTGCATTATAATACAGTAGAATGTTTGATTTTAGAAACTAGTGAGCTATTGACTTAGGCTTCATCAAAAATTGTAAAATGAATTTTGGCTTGGGATTAGGACAACATTCACAGCGGTTTCTAAAATGGCTGTAAACATAGTTCTGTCAACTTCTGTACTATGTATTTATGATGTTCTCAGCACTGACAGTTAGAAAATCAAGTTTCAATCAACTCTGAAAAACATACTCTATCCTGCAGCATCAAACGTTCAGCCAATATTTAATTCTTTATGTAATTTAATTCTTTATGTAAAATTAAGCACATCCACCTCAGTAGTATATAAATTTGTTTTCATCTTTCACAAGTGGTAAAATATATATGCTGAAGAACTGTTTTAGGGTAAGTTTGTTTATCATTTATTATAGGTGAATATTTCATTTGTGCACCTGTTTTATATACCTGTAGACTCAGGGCTGCACAAAAATGTCTGGTGAGTGGGCTGGGGGAATGGCTCAGTGGTCAGAGTGCTTGATGTGCAAATAAGAGGACTCGAGGTCAGATCCCTGGAGCCCATGGTGCCCTCCCTGTAATTCCAGACTCGGAAGGGAGAGACAGGGATCCTCAGGGGCACAGAGGCCAGAAAGAGCAGCCGTGTCTTTAAGCTTGGGGTGGAAGAGAAATCAAGGAAGATCCCTGACAGTAGCATTCGGCTTCTACATGTGTGTGTACATAATGTACATGCATACCCCCTCCACATGTACACCCATACGTGTGAAAACACACCGACACATGCAAACACACCACACACATGTACACACGGAAAGGGGAAGAAGGGGGAATCTGACCTAGGAAAGAGGGTTACCAATGGAAAAACTTAAGAGGACTGGCCTACAAGCACTCCTCATCAGTCCCCGCCACCTTCCTCGGACTGTAAGGTGACAATGCCATTGCTGTCAACCTCTAGCCTTCTTCCACTGACTTAACAGTTACTATTAGACTACAAACATTTGCAGGCTGTCTGCCACCCAAGATATGGAAGCATGGTGGGTAAAGAAGGCATCCCTAGATGACAAGTGTTAAGTGCCTGCAGGTACCATGTACAATTCAAAGCGGCAAAGAGCATCGGGAAGTCAGAGTGTGTACTTGAGGAGGGCCATCTAAGAGTGGGAACACTCCGCCACCATCGCTGAAGCACTCTTAGCAGACAGGCTGGCCCCTTCTGGCTTGGGAGAGAAGGGACACAGGGAGCAGATGGCTAGAAAGGGAAGGGAAGGCTCAGAAGTCCAGCAACAGGAAAATGTCAAGGTCATTAGGGAAATACGACATTTGGAGTATGAAGAGGAAATGCAAAGCAGATAGAAATGAACTAATGGTTTATATTTGGCAGCCATTAGGCTGCAAAACTATCTTTCTTCTAGAATAAATACTGTAAAGGACTTGACCGCAAGGCCAGGGAGCTGTCTCCAGTCACTAGCGGCTATCGCTCAGCCCACACCCGCATGGGGAGGGGAGGGGAGGGGAGGGGAAGGGAGTTCCCAGTCTTGGTGTGGATGATGCAGAAGCAAAGCACACATGACAGGCGCTGCTATCGGGCCTGGGAACGCTCACACCTGCCATTCCATTCCTGCGATAAGAGCTCAGGAGATGCCAAACCCAGTCAGCTCCAGTGTGGCCCACTGAGGACTCTCGTCACAGGCACAGGGCCATGGTCCTGGGGTTGGGAGGTAGGGAGAGAAGGGACGGAAGATTCGGAGTTAAAAAAAATTCTCACTGGTGACTCAGCCATGGGTTTCTTGAAAGCATCTGTGCAGTTCTTTGTGTGATTAAATGAAAGCATTTCTCTCATAATGCAACCTTCCTCAGCAAGACTGCCGGATATCATTCGTGTCTTACAATGTTTGTGTTATTGTGTTTTAAACCAAAGGGCTATTGCAAAAAGCAAAGAATAAGGTGATTTCCTCTTGGTTAAGTGGACACTGGGAAAGGAGGGTCTCTATTAGATCACAGTGTCATGGTTCCTCAACTACTCTGGTTTGTTGCTCTGGGTGTGTGTGTTTGTGCGCACGTGTGTGCAAGAGAGAGAGGTGGGGGAAGGGAGAGAAACACATACACATAGAAACAGAGAGAGAGAGAGAGAGGGAGGGAGAGAGACGAGAGTATCAGTCCCGTGTAGCCCAGGCTGGCCTCAGACTGTGTGGCTGAGGATGGCCTCTAATGTCCCATCCTGTCTTCCCCCCACTGCTGGGGTTACAGGCATGCGCGTCCATGCCTGATTTGTGTGCTGCCTTGGATTGAAAGCAAGGCTTCCTGTATGCTAGGTGAGTGCTCTATTCGCTGAGCCTGTCCTTTTAAACAACACAGACCCACTAGAGCCCTGTTATCTAATGATGGCTGCCCCCCCCCCCCCCCCCGTAGATGGTGCAGCGGGGGCCTTCAGTGTCTTCTGAACACAGCTCTTCCCAGAAAGCCCCTTCCTTGCGCACAGCCCCGGCTGAGCCATACCTAGGGAGCCCCTGGGCAGCTTCCGCTGGCACGCAGCGAGGACCGCCAGGCTGGCCTGCTCCCTGCCGCACCCGCTTACCAGGCCTTCTTCTTCCTCTTGTGCTTGGAGTCTATCATGCGGACAATGGCATCCTCTTCATAGGTGTGGCCACACACTTTATTTTTCACTGGCTTCTTCATTTCCAGCTATGATTAAGGAGACATCAGGCTTTCAGGAATACTCACCATCAGCCTCCTAGTCTCCCAGTGTCCCCCAGTGGCTGACTCCCCATCCCCGTGGCTGTAAGGTCAGGAAACGCAGGGGTCCGCTGGCCCTGATTTCACTTTGCACCATGGCTTTACTCCTAGGCCCTCAAGCACAGGATTGAACGAAGGTGCGGTTAGCCACAAACCTCCCACGTACACAATTCCATCTCATCCCTCCTTTCTTGGCTTCCTCCATCCCAGTGGGGTATCACAAGGCAAACAGGGACCCTTCTGCCCTTGTGAAACTAACCTAACCGCATCCTCTTGGAGGGGAAGGAGGAAGCCATACCTGTGTTATGGGGCAGATGAAATTGGTCTGGCTCTGGGTCACAATCATATCTTCGTCAACTCCTTCTATCCAGTCATTCTCTCTGTCCGCAGGCATTCCATCTACAGGAAGAAACGGAGGTTAGTGAGCTTCCTTGGCCCAGCAGCCTGCCAGGGAGAGGCGGGAAGGGCAGGAAGTTCCTCAGGCCCTGAACCAGGCACTTGGAAGATGCATGCCAACTCTGCAGCTTTTAACAGAATCCTTGCGGGTCCCCAATTCTGCACAGTTTTGATAGGAACCCAAGGCCCAGAGCGGTACAACAAGACTTTACATAGTTCAGAGAATTAATCTATAAGGGAGCCCTGCTTGGTAACGAAGGGTGTGGATGCATGAGCTGGAGGACCTGGTCTCTCCCATGTCCAGTTACAGGCTTTGGGCCAGCAAGGTGTGTTTGAAAGTCTGTTTCATAGCTTTGGTGCCAAGACAAACGGGGAAAACAATAAACAACATGGCTCCCGGCTCAGGGAAACAATCAGTAGACAGCACCTACTTGTGTCTGAAACGGAAGACATAGTAAGAACAGACTGTCAGAAACAGTCAAACTTTGGGGAGGGGGGTAATGATTTGAACTCCTACGAGGTCTTAGACATTATTAAGGACTCCAAGGAACTTTTTAAAAATATGGTTGTATTTATTAATATTTACCATAGTAGATATTAAGACTAAAGAATTAAAAGAAAACATATTTATTACTTCATTTAAAGACATAGCAACAATCCATCCCATTACATGTCAATAAAAATAACATTTTAAAAATTCTTTTTAAAAACTTTTCTTTTTTCAAGACAGGGTTTTTCTCTGTGTTACAGTCCTGGCTATCCTGGAACTCACTCTGTAGACCAGGCTGGCCTCTGCTCCTGAGTGCTGGGATTAAAGGTGTATGCTACCACACCCGGCTCATATAAATAACATTTTAAAAGTTAAAAGTAAATGTATTTCCCAGAACAAACCAGAGTGAGGAGAATGGCATTGTTTTCTGGTTTTGCAAATATCTTCAATGCTTGGCCTCACAGGAGACGACTTCTAGAAGGCAGACTTCAGTGTCTTTCTGGCATCTGGTCCTCCTCCCTATACGTTGGGTAGGCTCAAGGGGCACTCGCGAAAGAATGTGACGAGGACCTGGCGTCATATTGCTATTATGAAGACAGCTGACCTGGAGGTCACCCCGAAGCTCCTGGCCTGCACTGGGAACCTCTGAGCAGTGGCTGTGAGGCTATGCACATGGAGCCATCTGCTTCCAACATTCCCTTCTTTTTACTGTGTCACACTTGTCCTTCGCCGAGGAAAACACAGGTGACAGGCAACTTGTGAATGGCACCACGGGTGAATTTCTTTCTGAAGAAGGGCTACAGGCTGGCACTCTTTGACTCTGAGTCTGAAATTCACAATATCCCCAAACTTACAACATTTTTGCATACTGACGTGGATTATGCCACTATGAAACTCTGCTTCATGGATAAAGTTATTTAAAATACTGTAGGAAATCAGAGTCTGTTTTAGCTCAAGTGCCCCCCACCCCCTGTGAGGACTTCTATCTAATATATTATATAAAATTGGCTTCAAGCTATGTGTAGAAACTGTGTAGGGAATATAAGTAAATTTCCTACTTGTATTGAATCCTATTCTCAAGACATCTCAGTATGTATGTGCAAATCTTTTAAAATCCCAAACCTGACACAATCTAGTCCCCAGCATTTTGGGTAAGGAAGGGCTGTTTAACCTATACCTATCAGCTGTCTGCCAATGATCTATTCCTTCCTCCTTTCTCTCTCTCTCTCTCTCTCCTCTTCCTTCTTCCATTTGGTAGAATAATATAGATGTAAGACTACTTTACTGTCAAGGTATGGGAGAGCAACCCTTGACTCTGGGCCACAAGGCTTTATAAATCTTTCTGTTATGGAATTACTTTGGGCCTCCCCTCAGGCCGGGTGGAGTGCCTGTCTGTCTGGAAAGATGCTACCACTGCAGGACAAGGGTATGGAGTTTTTGTTCAAGGCTATCTAGTGAAAGAATGGTTAGAAGACTCTGCCCAAAGCACTCTTTAGAGGGGCTCCCTTTCCCTATCTGTGTGGGCGGCTGCATGTCCCTAAGGTAGCCCTCACAGAGGGTGGGGTGAAGATGCTGATCTCTCAAGCAGAGCATTGAGGGGTCTTACACACCTTTTCAAGGATGAGACCTTGGGAACCACTTACTGCTGGACATCTCTGCCTTAAAATCTGAAGTCGCTTGTGTGACAAGGCCTCTCCTCCAAAGGTTCAGAGTTTGGAACATTTATGATTTCAGCTCTCTGGATTAAGAATGCTCAACCGATCTCATCTATCCAAGTGTCCCCAACTCCCAAATCGGAAGCAGTCTGGTCTCAGGTGTTACAGCTAGCAATCTTTACTCCTTTATTCTACAAAGGTAACTGTCAGGTTAAAACCAAGTCACATGAAATGTCTACAGACATAATATTTGCTCATCCTCATTAATTGCTTATTTAAAACTTAACAATTTTTCATTTGGAATCAATATGAGGCTAGATCTATTATGTAACTTAATAAAGATTCCCAAGCATGCAAAGAAGATTTCAGAGAAACTAATGGCCTGCGACAAATCAATTATCTGCAGCTAATCTATTCCCAAAGCAAAATCACAAAAACAGTTAAAAAAAAAAAAACTGTCAGCAATAAAATGGCATTAAATATGGAAGGTGCCACATTTTGGTACGTTTGCTGTCACATGAGGTGGGACTTTTGATTCCTGTGAGCCCTAGGCTTGGCATTCAGAGTACAAGAGTCAGACACCTTAAAGGGTCCTCTATCAGCTAGCGGCTCAGGAGAAGGGGCAGGTAGTGTAAAGAGGCAGAAGGCAGCTGGAGACGCCTGCCTCTGGAATCCACTTTCCAAAGGGGCTTCCTGTGGGCTGCTGCTGACAGTCAAAACAAAAGGGGCTCCTTGTGAATTTCTTACAGTTTATTCTGGACGGATGGCAGATTTCTGACTATAAATACCACAGCGTGGAATTCACCGGGAAATCTGTTAGCTGTATAACAGAGTTCAGCCCATGTGAAAGGCGGTGGGTGGGCTTGCTGGTTCTTTTCTATTTTTAAATTTCAAAAGGTAGAGGAAGCAAGAAAGCACAACTCAGATGCAATGCCAACCGCTAGGGAGGGCTGGGTGGGGAAGTAAGCGAGGGAGGTCACGCAAAGGGAGGTGGCAAGAGAGAGGGCCAACCCAACAGCGAGCAATAGCCCACAGACGGCGAGTCTGAAAGGGGAGAGACCACAGTAGCACATTTCTCCACAGAGCTTTTCCTCACCCTACACCTGTACTTACAGAGGGCGGCAGAAAAGCTGGGGTTCTGCAAGCTGCTTACAGAAGGTCGCATCTGACAATAAGTATCTCTACGGTGGCTTAGCTGATCCACAGGACAAGACTGTACGGTGTGTGTGGTAAAACGCAGGCAGGCGGGGGGGGGGGGGGGGGGGGGGGAGAGACAGAGGTCTGCTGGAACCACAGGCATTTTAAAAGCGGGATTGGCTGCTGTCTGAAGTCTCACTCGGCCGAGAACACCAAGAGCCAAACAAAGTGCAGATTCTGCTGAAAAACGAGGCGAGCTGGGCCTTTTGAGCACTGCAAACAGCATGCTGGTTCTACAGTGTTCCATCACCAAGGTGTCTCATTAATACTAATAATAGCTCACTTGCTCAGGGCTCCAGTAACTTGATATTATTTCACTTAATACTCATGTAATACCCATGAAGGACTGTATTGTTATTTCTAATGTATAGACAAGAATGAGTTTTAAGTCCCATGGTATTACTAAGGGATGCAATAAAGGACCAGACATACAATAAAGAAGCAATTGAATTAAGTCAATGAATCTTTATTAAGGAATCACAAAGTGTTCCCGATTATGCATAGGTAATGAGATTATGCATATGCAAATGAGATGTTTTATTTTATTTTATTTTTTTATACTGAGCTTTCCACACTCCTGGGTTCTAGACAACATGCATTAAACCAGGCATCAGTGAAAACTGTTTGAAAGGCAACTGTGTCTGTACTGAACATGCACAGACCCTTTCTTCTTGTTATGAGTCCCTAAATAGTATATCTCCTTTTTACATAGCATTTACACTAAACTGGGTATGTCTTAAAGACTACAAGAGGGTGTATGTTCTATGCAACACATTGTCTCTAAGGGACCTGAGCATGCATGAAATTTGACATATTCAGGGGTCGTAGAGATGAGCCCTTCCCCCACCGATACTGAGGATGGCTGGACAGGCATGTATAAGCTGTGTTGTTAGGTAAATACACCAGCTGTTAACTTCTAACCAGTGGGCAGGTCTCAGAACCCACACCCTGCATCTAGATGTCTGGGCTCAGTGACCAAACACATGCTGGGGAGGAAAACCTGGACAGAAACTCAGTTTATAGCGGAGGGATGCAGCAAGGTAAGTTGGATAACCAAATAGGATTGGTTATTGGTGTTTTACCCCATCCCCACCTCTAAGACAGGATCTGGTGTATTGGAGGATGCGCTCACATTTCTTATGTGGCCAAGGATGACTGTGAGCTTCTGATTTCTTGCTTCTATCTCCTGAGTGATGGAACTACCCTTGTATACCACCATGCCTAGTTTCTGTGCTACTGGGTTTTGTGCAAGGTCAGCAAGCTAGATCCTTAAGCCCTAAACTTTATTTATATATTTATTATTTATTGTTATGTGTGAGGGTATGCCACGTGTATATGCCTTCAGAGGTCAGAAGAGATTAGGTTCTCTGGGGCCGGAGTTACAGGCAGTTGTGAGTCCCCGGATACGTGTATAGGGTCCCGAACTCAGGTGGTACGGAAGAACAAGAAGTGCTCTTAATCAATAAACTACCGTTAATGCCTGAGTAAATATGTACCCTTCCTTCCTTTCCTGATGCCATAAAATGAAATACCAAAGGAAGGAGAAACTATGCAAGTGTTTGAAGGAGTATTTCCGAAGTTTAATACGTCCTGTGACACACGCAGTTGGAGTGTGTCAGGGTGGGCACGGGGTAGACCAAGATGTGGGTTTGAGAACAGTT